TGCTTGGGGCACTGCACACTGAGAAAATGCTGTATGAAGTCCTAGGGGACTGGCTGGAAGGGAGTGGATGGACATCATTTCTTGTGGCTTCAAGTGGAGTTGCTGATTCTATGATATAGGTGACACATCTGACCCACACTCGCTACATGCACCAAGTCACTTCTCTCGCTTTGTATAGTTTACTGAGACAAGCCCATCGTGAATACCTGACAAAAACTATTGAAGATGAGCCATTGGAACTGGATGGTTGGGTTAGGTATCAGCGAGACCGAGAACCGCAATTCTTGTACTGGCACCAGACTCTTGAGCTGCAGCTGATGGTTCTGCAGTTTGGGAAGTCGATCCAGACTGCATCGTTTGATCTGTACTTAGAGACTTTTGAACATCTCATGCCATGGGTGTATGCTCTTGATCACATACACTATGCCCTCATTCTACCCATTCATCTACGAGATATGTGTGGCCATCGAGAAATGCATTCAACAGTTCATAAAGAGTTCTTGAAGGGAAAAATCGTTGGACAGAAGACAAGTCGTGCATTTTCTAGCATTGCTTTAGACCAAATTCATGAGCAGCTCATCGGTTCTCTGAAGGGTGATGGAGGACTGACTGAGGATCCTGTAGCCCTTGAAAGATTTATGATTAGTTGATCAGAACTTGCTCACATCATTGAGGAGTTCGAAAACACACCTCAAAACAGTCACAGGAAGCATCATGAACAGTATCCTAAATATCAAGAGACTTTCAGAGAAGATGTGAATGGCTTAATCAGTTCATTCTCTTAACAGGCCCAGAATCATGACAGGTGATGTTTTGAGCTCTATGAGAAACATCACAAAAATTGGAAAAGACAAGTATGATACATTCTTTTCAGAAATGGTTTCATCCAGCACATCCCCATGGACTTTCACCTGAATAGATTGCGTCTTTTCAGTGTAAAAGCTCAACAACGTAAAGAAGAATCCGAGCTTGCTTCCACGAAGGAATAACGAACCCAGTTTATTCAAATGATGCTCTCTGAGCACTCAGGAAGGGACATTGATGGAGAAATGTTTGCATATGAGAACACCACATTACCACAATCTTTCAGTTCCTATGGTCAGATGCACAAAGGAACAAAATCTGAAATTCTCAAGTGCCTCGAAGGTGATATTGAAGATTCTACTTCTGATACTTCCCCTAATCTAATTCTGATGTTGTTATTCTAGATGGAACCTTCATCATGCAATCACTGAGACCTGGTACAGCATCAACATTTCAGGATTATGCAGACCAAGTGTTTCTTCCATATGTGATGTCATGGCTAAAGGGTGTGTCTCGTCTAGACATTGTGTGGAATGCCTACAAACACGATTGTCTCAAATTCAGCACTCGGGAAACCAGAGGCAGTGGCATGCGGTGTCGAGTGACAACATCAACCAAAGTACCGAGTAACTGGCAAGGATTTTTACTGGTCGATGAGAACAAAACAGAACTGTTTTCTCTGTTAGCAGAGAACATGCAAGAGATGTACACAGAGGGCAAGCAAGCTGTTACAACCTTCGGAGAGAATGTTCTCACTTCACCTGTTCGCTCAAGTACTCGCGCTTTAGCACCTAGTACTCACGAGGAAACTGATTCGAGGATTTTTGTTCGTGTTGCAGATGCGAGACATAAAGGATTTAAACACATCGCCATTCGAGCTAGTGACAGTGATCTGGTGATAATACATGTAGTTGTGTCCTGTTTCCAAGATCTCAACCTTGATGAGCTCTGGATAGCCTTTGGATCCGGCAAATCATACAGACATATCCCAGTTCACCAGATTGCTATGCAGTTGGGACCATCCAAGTGTCGAACTCTTCTAGCATTTCATTCTCTGACCGGCTGAGACACCACCTCAGCATTTCAAGGAAAAGGCAAGAGAACAGAATGGGCTGTTTGGCAGGAATTCCCAGAGCTCAATGCAACACTTCAGCACCTGTCAACATTCCCTAGTAGAATCGATGATGATGTCATGTCCTATGTAGAGGCTTTTATCGTTTGCCTGTACGACAGGTCCTTGGACATCAAATCAGTCAATGCAGCACACGTGGAATTGTTCTACTACAAAGGCAGGCCTTTTGAGAACTTGCCACCTACAAAGGATGCATTGCAACAACACACATTACGCGCAGCTTATCAGGCAAGCCACATCTGGGGCTAAGCCCTCATCTGTTCCCCAACCTTGCGTGACCCATATGAAAGGGGATGGGAAAATGACAAGTGGTTACCTCGATGTACAACACTTGCCCCTATTACAAAGAACCACAAATGTCTTGTCACATGTCAGTGCAAGAAAGTGTGCAAATCTCCATGTTGCAAAGCTGGTGTGAAATGCAGTACTCTCTGTGCATACAGGGGAGCTTGTTTCAATCAAAGAAAATAATGTGTACACTTACGTGAATATAACTCATTGGTTATTGAAAGAATAGGCAAAATATGGGTGAACCTGGCCAGCTAAAGGGATTTTAAATTACAAAAACAAAATCACATGTGTAGTACTAGCATCTTAATTCCCAAAATTATGGCTGTGCGTCATAATTTTTTTAAAATTCAAGACGGCCATTTTTTATGTAAGCAATTATTCATATGGGTCAGGCAAGGTTGGGGAACAGATGAGGGCTTGGCCCCAGATGTGGCTTGCCTGATAAGCTGCGCGTAATGTGTGTTGTTGCAATGCATCCTTTGTAGGTGGCAAGTTCTCAAAATGCCTGCCTTTGTAGTAGAACAATTCCATGTGTGCTGCATTGACTGATTTGACCGTTTATAATAATTCTTTGGGTGTTATTGAGTTTGTCAGCCAGAACTTAGTATGAAACAACACATTTATATTTCTATCATTCTTCTGTCAAAAGTTATATTTGGTTCGTATTTTCATTATACTCCAAGGGCAGCCATTTTTCATTTATGCAGGTAAAGAGTGAAGTTGACCTTTTGTGATAACTGTGTTGGTGTCTTTGAGTTTGTCAGCCATAAATTACAATGAAATAACACAAAATTTATATTTTACCATTTTTCAGTCAAAAGTTATATTCAGTCCTCATTTTCATATTTCAATGGCGGCAATTTTTAATCTATGCAAATTTGGACTGAATTTGACCGTTTATTATAACTTTGAAGGTGTCATTGAGTATGTCAGCCATAAATTAATATGAAACAACAAAATTAATGTTCTAAATTTTAAAAAAATTCATTATATTTTTATCAGTAGCGGCCATTTTTAATTTATGTAACTGAGGGCCTGAATATGCATGTGGACCTTGCGTCCGATTCTGCTTCCCAATGATATGGTGTAAGGTACTTACATGCCAAGTGGTTCCTTCCTACTAAAATTTGCAGTGGGAAACGAGACTGCTGGCCTAAGTCAGCCCACTAATACTGCCATACCCCATTTCTTATTGGTGTATTTTGTACATTACAATGACATTTTGCAAGACGGTGTCCTGTCTAAGGCGGCCACGTTTCTCCGCGACAATGGGTAGCCATCTTAGACAGCTACGACTGTATTTGGTATGACCTGTTGAATGAAATGTTTTTGAACACTGTTTTTCCAACTTAATTGTATAGAAGCTGATGAATTATCGTTTGAAGTTAAAAAATACAGAAAATCAGACACGCCAGAACTCAGGTAAAAAGCATTAAAAAAACAACAAACAACAAAAAGCAACCCCCCCCCCCCCCCCCCCCCCCCCACCAAAACAAAACAAAACAAAAAATACAAATAAATAAGAAACAAAGAAAAACTTTTAAATCCTACATAACGGAAGGCCTGTTAAAAAGGAGCATAACCTTTCCGTGTTTTTTTTTGGGAGGGGGGGGGGGTATCTGTAGGTTTAAGAACCAACAATGAATAGTTTTAAATCACAACCTGGGTCTGAAATTTTAGAAGCAATTTTCTACTGACTAGGCTCTACATAAGCCCAGTTGTAATCTAAGAAGCTGGAAATAGCCATATATGATCTTATTCAATCAAATATCCTCCGCAGGTTTTTATGTTTGTCGTTATTGTGTTTGTTGTTACAGCACTTTTTAACTGCTGAGCATAACCTTTGTGTTTCTGTCTATGTGTATGTGTAAGAACTAACACATAGTTTTTATTTTCAACCTGAAGAAACGTTCTACTGACTGGAATCTGAATAAACCTATTATTATCTAAAAAGTTAGAGACAGCCTTTTTTTTGTTTCAACCAAATTTCCTGAGAAAACAGTTATGTTGGTTGTTACTCAGTTGGTCGTTACACTCTCTGTATTGATCATGACCTTTTATTTTTTAGTGTATGTGTAGGTGTAAGAGTGAACAAACAGTTACAATTTACCCATTATATGAGCAATTTTACAAACACTCTTCTCTTCTAACTAGACTCTAGAAAAGTCTCGTTACGAACTAAGAAGCTAAAACATTATTATTTTTTGTTCTACCAAATTTCCTGCGTGAGTCGTTATGCTGGGTTTTGGGTTACAAGCAACTTTCTATCGCAGACAAGCCTAGTTGTAATATGAGAATCTGAAAACAGCCTTATTTAAAAAGTCATTCAATTTTCCTTCGAAGTCGTAATGTTGGTAATTTCTGTCGGTCATTACGCTCTTAGTGTTAAGCATAATCTTTTGTTCGTGTATATTTAATTTGGTAGATTATATAAGAAACAACAAAACATTTTGTTTTAAACCTGGGTCTTCCATTTTACAGGGCACTTAATTGTACTGATTAGATCGTAGACAAGCATAGTTGTGGCCTGAGAACGTTATTTCTTATTCTTCCAGATTTCCTTCTTAAGTCGTTATGTTGGTCGTGACACACTCAGTGTTTGTCATAATCTTTTTTTTCGGTATATATATATGTAAAATGTCAGGCCAAAATGAAACCTTATATTGTTTAATGCCTTGTTCTGCAATTTAAAAAGTGCACTCACGCGTCCAAAGGTGCAGACATTCACATGAACACACACCATATTTAACTCAGCTAAAAACAACATTAAAACTTTTTTTTAAAGAGCTTTAATCAAACATTTATACCATCTCTTGTACATTTACATCGTCGATGACATGTTAGATCTAGTCTTTGCTGCGAGTTTGCCACACACAACACAGATATGAGTCAAGACGCGGTGGAATCAGGCGCTTGTCAATTTTTGTGCATACCACTATGAAATTATCAGTATCATCTTAAAGCATCTTTATTTATTTTGCTTTTGAAAAAAATAGCGTTAAAAGAAGCGGAAGTATTTGAGATTGAAAGTAGTGGGGCGTGGCTTGGTGTCAGAGGTAGAATTATGGAGAAATGATCTCCAAAGCCTGGTGAATTCAAAACTTTGTGTGTCCTCAGAAACAACAAAATTCAATGTTTTGTGCCGTTGATCGACGTTTTGCAGATAAATCAACATCGAAATGTATTTTGAATGGGCATAAGAGATGTTGAGCTAAAAAAATCTTCGATGTCATTATTTTGAAGGGCGCCTGATTCCATCACGAAGCCACAAATCTAAAACAATAATCTTTTCTTTACAATTAAGCAGCATGTTTCTGTATAAAAGCTTTCAATACGTCAGTGGCCGCTCGGAAGTCATCCATGTCGTTGTAGATCTGTACTGAGTAACGGAAGTAAAAGTCTCCTTCGACCCACGAAAGGATACCAAAGACTTTGGTGTTGCCAAATATCGCTTCCGTCAGTGTCCACGTGTTCTCCTGAAATCAACGATTGTTTAGTTTTCGTTTTAGTACAAGTTTTACTGCACTTGCTACAAAATACGATCATATAAGTGCCGATGAAGATTAGGAGGGCTACACGAGAGTAACAAACGGGAAAAAGTAGGGGAGATGAGGACCGTGGATGTTTGAAAGGAAAGAAGGCCAGTCTAGGATGGTATACATATACGTCTATGATCGACCCAGCAATATGATTGTGACGGAAATACAATACAGCATAGTCCAAAGTTGGTTACAAAAGTAAGAAATTGTCTAAATTGTGTCAATCTTATCGTAAAACGTTTACAGTTTCACTTCACCACTCCACTTTTGAGACGTCTATCTCCAGTGGCTAAGTGAGTAGTGACTTTAGACTCAAACGTAGAGTCAAGCAAGTGCCGGTGACACGCGGATTAGATGGGTGTCACTGGGGTGTGTCCTTGAGCAAGAAACGACAACCCTAGCTAAAAAACCCAAGGCGCTGCATAATGGCGACTAGCAATGGCATGGTTGTGAAATTGTTCTGTTTTGGTGTAATTTTGTGCATTTATGTAAGTAATATGTGTATGTATTTGTGTACTATTGTATTTATAATTATGTACTTACGCATGTTTGCCATTGTAAACCAAATTACCTTTCTGAAATCAATAAAAGTGTAATTTATTTACTTGTTCTAATTCACGCATACAAAATAAAATGATAATTCAGAATAGATTAAAAAACCCAGCTAGATATGTTTTCTGCATTTTCAAGAAAAAGCAACTCCACGGGTGGTAGTAACATCTCCTAAACCGTCATTTATAGGTCAATAGACGTGACCTAATATTGCCAACGTCGATATCGCTGTGTTTATACGCCCCCATAGACACACATTAGATCATACAGGACGCCGTCTTCCAATGATGCCTGTCAGGGTCAACTCGGGCTGAGAGGGATACAATATCCCGGTGTTTTATTTTGTTTTAGCGTTTTACGGCGCTCACAACTGCATAAAGTCATACAAGCGCATGGGACACATTACACCATTTTAGTTTGGTCGGAATTAATGAAGATTTTGAATTTGTGCTGGCGGCGGCTGAAGCCTACTCTTATCGATTTGGAAACACTAATGGATCATTACGAAAGCCCCCAATAAAAAAAACGCGCGTGCCGTGTTTGTTTGTGAGTGTGTGTGTGTGTGTGTGTGTGTGTGTGTGTGTGTGTG